CAGGAACAGCAGCAAAAGTCTTAATGTCATTTTTGCAACCACCCCCCATGAAGCCTAAATTCACAAATGTTAAAACCCACCTGTATTCCGTCATGCAGAAATTGGGGTTTCGTGGATGTCTTTATACAGTCTTACTTCCCATGCAATCCAGGGCTGGGTTAACTCTCCTGGCGGGCGTCTCCCACCGTTTAACTTGTGTTCAGCCTTTCTCAAGGCTTACTAGTTGCAGTTTTAGTGTTGAAATACCGCATGAACTGGGTGGCTGGTAAAATTAAAGTAGCAGCCACGCTTGTCCCAAGGTGTTTTTCCAAGAGGCAACCGAACTTCCTGGTTTTTCTTTGAAGAAAGAAGCTTCTTGGAGGAGAAGCGAAACGTCTTCAAAGAAAAACCAGAAAGTCCAGTTGCCTCTTGAAAAAAAAAATGCACCTTTGGGACAACCGTCACCTGGAGGACAGAGAAGCTCCTCAGACCATTATCAGGCTTGCTTTTTCCTTCCTTGGGATCTGTTTTAAATTACCTTGGGTCCTTAAAATCTTAAAATTTTTCGAGCAGCTGACTCTGATGCAATACCAGCTGGCTGATGACATCCCTGCAGCCCTGCCCTTCCACCTGTTTCCCACCATTCAGCACGGCTCCTGTGGCCGGTGAGTGGCAGCATGCTCTTGTCTGCAAGGCTTCTTGTCAAAATGCCACGCCAGGGTGGGCTCACCACACCCACTCATCCTTTTTTTCCCTTGGCAGGGTGCAAATTTATCTCAAACTTCGCTGTGACTTATTTCCCAAAAGGTGAGAAGCCCTTTATGGTCTCTTCTGAGTGGGGAGCAGACTTAAGCCTCTTCCTCTCAGCTTAACCTTCTCAATTTTTATAGCCACGCGGTCAACCTTCGTATCCACCTGCCTGTGCCCAAAACCACGCTAAGGTGAGTCAGCCACCGGCCTGCTGTTCTGGGGGGGGGGGGGTTGGTGGGGGAGAGGGGAGACTCTGCTGGATCTTCTGGTCTTCCTTTACAGCTTTTCTCAAGAGTTGAGCAGTCCTGAGCAGACGGCCCTCTTGCAGCCCGCCACCAAGTCTATTGAGTGGACTGTCCCCCGAATGCAAGGGGGCTCCCAACTTTCTGCCCTGTTTAAGGTAAAGAGCAGCACAAGCCTGTCCCATGGGGGGAGGAGGGGCTGCAACCATGGTTCCGAGGCTTCCTTGGTGGGAGATGGTTTCTGAGGCCGTCCAATCTCTCCTTCGGCAGCTGGAGGTCCCAGGGCTCACCCAGGCAGCGCTACGTGAGCTCGGCCCTGTCAACCTGTCTTTTGAGGTGCCAGCCCACACCTGCTCTGGGCTGCAGATCCGCTTCCTGCGCTTCACGGGACCAGAGCCCACTCTTCCTCACCGGTGGGTGAGGTACGTGACTCACAGTGAGTCCTATGTGATCCGACTCAGTGCAGAATAGGCTACCTCCTTGTTACTCCAAATTAAACAGCTTTATTTTTTAACTAGCAAGTTTTAACAGTCAAAGTCACAAAAACCAGGGAGCATCCGGCGTGGCCCCCACTAAACAGAGTACAAACCAAGGAAGGAAGCAAACTCCGTACAGCAGGAGCGAGACAAAGTACGGAACCTGCCCCAAACCTTCTTCTCTGGGAACGTACAGCGCCCCCTACGCTCCCCCGGGGGGGGGGGGGGGGGAGACCTCTGGGAAAGAAGAGCTTCAGGAAACCTGCAGGGAAAAAAGAGGAAGACCAGTAAGAGCCTTTCCATGCCACTAAATTTCGAGGCTCCGAGAAGGCCTCAAGGACGCTCTGGGCAGCACCCAAACTCCCCCTTGACCACCAGTGCCGGCCTTGTATTACAAATAGACAAGAAACGCTGCCTTGACCTAGCCAAGGTACCCCTGGGAAAGGGTCCCATCACCCACTTTATATCAGATTTAGGCACACTTCGTATCTGTTCTGTAGTCACCCACACTGGTGGCCATCACGATATCCTGCAGACGATGAGTTCCACAGGTTAATCGTGACGTATTGAAAGGATTGCTGTTTTTCTGCCAGTTTTAAAATCCTTTCCCCACAGCTGCTCGGCATGCCGCTTATGCACCTTCACGCTGCTTTTTTTCCCGCTCAGCCAGGGGGCTCCTATTGTAACCTTTTCTCACGGAAGAACAAACTCCCCCTCCTGGCTGTTCTCTGGCTCTACGATCAGCTGCAGCCTGTGAAGACAAAAATCCAAGGCAGGCTTTCGGACCAGGCCTCCAATGGCCGCTGGAGGACCAGGCCCTCCCAGGCCAAATTTTGCCCCTGGCGGTGGCCCCAACCCCACTGGCTGGCTTGGCAGCACAAAAAGCACCCCCCGGGCTTTGGGGGCCACAGCCTCTGCAGCTGGGCTCTTTCCCACCGAAGCATCCTGCTCTCCAGCTCCATGGCCACAGGCCCAACCTCTTTTGTTTTTGGGGGGTGGGAGGGGCGAGGGGGAGGGGCTAGGACTGTGCGCAGGCACTCCCTCTGAGGGCAAAATTAGCCTTGTTTTATGGGGGGGAGGGAGGGAGGGGGGGGCTGCTGGGAGAAAAGGCATCACTAGCACCTGGGAGAGATCAGGGCGCCACTTCCTAAGCCTGAACGGGAAAAGGGGGCTGGAAGTGCAGCTGTGCGCCTGCCCTCTTTACCCAAGGAGGAGCAGCCACAGTTCCCGGTTCTGACTGCCAAAACCCGCCACCCCCTTTCATCAAGAGCCCACCCAGAAAACTGGGCCAAGCACCTCCCAGCATTTTCAGTGTTTTAAACGTTCTCTGGAGTTTCAGCAAGCCAGAAGGCAGAAGCTCTAAAAATCAACCAGCGGTTCCTTTCTTTCCAAAAGTAGTTACTGAGGGTGTTAGGGGTTTTGGGTTTTTTTTGTGGGGGGGGTGGGGAGAATGTGCTCTCAATGGGCTCACCTACAAACCTCTCTCTAAAACGCTCTCTTCTTTTGGTACAAACTGCTCATCTGCTCAGGGCTGCCCCCATGCCGGCTGTTTCCTTGCAGTCAGCCTGCAAGCTCCATGCACAAGTTAAAGGGGGTGGGGGGTGGGAGCCAGCTAGGCCAGGGTCCCCCGCCCCCCCCTCAGCACTGGCTGGTACTGGCCACACAGAAGGGAGCAAAGCAGCGACTCCCAATACCCCGCACCGGCTCCAGCAAGGCAGCCGTGGTCGGGCATGAAAAAACGCCAGGATGGACCCCCCAGGCCTGCTAGAGGTCATCCATGAGAGTCACCAGGGCCGCCTCAGTTCTGCCTCCCAGACTGAAAGGGTCCAGATAATCCCCCTCATCATGCATGGTCCCCTGCGGCTGGGAGCCCAAATCCACCTCAACAATGGGGGCGGGGGGGCCAGACACACAGGGTGCCCCTCTGACCTCTCAGCAGCAGTTCTTTTTAATTTACAGGCGTTTCTAAGTTTTTTTCCCCTTTTGTCATTGTGGGGTACAGAGTGCAGAGTAACGAGAAAAAGGAATTTCAACAACTGCAGAATGAGGCTGCTGGAGCGTAACCACATTGACGAGGGGGGGCTGAATACTTTCTGCATGCACTGTACACGGCCGCCCCGCTTAGCATCTTCCCCCCCGAAGGAAGGAAGGAAGGAAGGAAGGGGGTCTGGAGGACTGCAGGGGCTGGGGCTGGGAGGGGGAGGGGCTGGGAGCCCACCTTCCTCTGCTCTGGGAGGTGGGGGGTGTCCAACGAGGGGAGAGGCTTGGGGCGGGGGGGCGACAACAACAACAAAGGCTGCTGTTCAAGCAGGAATTGGGAGTCCAGGAGGAGCTCCCTCCACAACCACACATGCTGTGACAGGAATCGGACCACTACCGGCCACCTCCCTCCTCCTCCCACCTGTCCTTGCTCAGCCAACCAGCCAGGTACTAAGCTGCTTAGCGGGGCTGATGTGGGCAGGAAGGGCAAAATCAGCCTGCAGCAGCACATAGCAAAGCCTCCGCCTCTGTCCTCACAAGAATTTTGACTGGTGGAGGCCGATCTCTACCGCTGCCCCTTGGAGGGGAGGGAAGCCCCCCCCCTCCAATCTCTGGACCTTTCACAGAGAGGTCCAAACGTGGTTCTGCCACAGGGGCCCTTCTGACTTGCCCAGCCCTAGGTCGGGGTGCGAACATCCTGCCTGGGCGAGGTCACCGGGGCAGCTTGAGCTCCAGGAGTCCCTCTCAGCCGCTGGCATCTCACCTCTGGGCAAACTCCGCTTCACTGCCTGAGCTCTCCTCTCCCAGGGGAGGCCCCATCGGCTGGCGCTTGGCCCTCAGGGTGGTGGACGTCAGCAGGGGGGTCTGCAGGCGGCTTCCGGAGGCAAGGCTGCTGCTGCTGCTGCTGTGCTCGGAGGATCCTGGCAAAGCAGGACGAGAGACCGACTGGTTTCCGCCCTCAGCTCTCCAGGGGTGCAGTGGGTTCTCTTCCCTACAGAGCCTTCGCCCTCCAGCCAGTGTATGGGAATTGGATAGAACGTAGACAAGGTATCCTGGGAAATGCAGTCCATGTCATGTGGCCACATCTGTAATCCTAACTGGTCACTAAATTGACCCTCAGTGGGTTGGGAGAGTTTTTCTCGCTCTTGGCTGAACCCACAGACTTGTGGTAGCTGTTCTACTTCTATCCTTACAAGATGAGAGAAAAAGGATAGAAGATAACCATCTTTTTACCTACAAGACAGATATCCAAAGGATTGGTCATTAAAGAACTCTGTCACAAATGTGAGTTATGAGGATACCTGATGGACCACTAAATGGACTTGGTTGTGGGCGTCTTGTTGAGTTTATCTATCTGCTTCTGCACAGAAGGCAGAACGGAGCCTCTCCCGCTCCCCGCCAGCTCAGGGCCCCACACCCACCATGCAAATGTCTCCTCTTGGAGGCCGCCGCGTGCGGCTGGAGGGCCGCCTCCTGCTGAGGGCTCAGGGAGTGCTGATAGAGCAGGAGGGAGGGCCAGCGGGGCTCCTCTCCGCTCCGGGAGAAGGGAGCCTGCCCCATCGTCTTCAGGTGGGCCAGGCTGTGGGTGGGAGGAGAAAAGGTGCTTTCAGCAGGCAGGGAGGCTTTTCCGGAGGCTCCCCAGCCACATCGCACTCACAGCAGAGCCTTATCTGGGGCCAGCAGCCTCGGGGAGAATTCACTCAGCAGCTCCAGGAAGGGCAGGTTGATGAGGCCCAGGCCAGGGCTGGGGGATGCCGGCTCCTCAAAGGCAAACTTTATGCCATCCCTGGAATGAAGACGCCGTGAGGATGGCCCAGCTACCTCCCCTTCTCTTCCCCCCCCACTCCGAACCGGCCTTCCCACCGGACCCAGGCCCTGCTCCCCCTGGCCGCCTCCGGAGCGTCCTCACTTGTGCAGAGCCACCAGGGCTGAGCGGTTCTGTAGCTGGTGCAGCCCAAACAGCAGGGAGAACCGCCGTGCCAAGTCCCGGATCTCCAGGAAGGCGGGGGAGTCTGTGGCCCCTGGTCCCGCTTCCAAGAAGAGCTGGGTCATCAACTGGGAGCAAGGAGAGAGAGACCGGCTGGGCAGGCGCCCCATTCTCCAGCCGCCGCCGCCGCCACCCTCGCGATGCTCCCCCCACCCCCCGCTTACCTGCTGCAGGCTGAGTAGCAGCGTGCGAGCCCACTCAATTCGGTCAATTTGGCGGGTCTGGTTCAGAGTTTCCTTGATAATGTCCCCATAGTCATCGTAGAACTGGCAGGAAAAATGGAGCACTGGATTCTCCTTTGTTTATAGCTTTTTAAAATTAGTTTCATAAAACAGCAAAACCAGAGTAGGGAAAGGAATGTATTTATGTACAGTACATAATAAGTTTTATACTAAAAACAAAATGATTTCCCCGCGCAGCCGAAGGGGCGGTTTGCACTCTGTGCTTCCTCTAGGCAACAGCTGTGCTTTCCACACAAGGCTGCCAGACGCTAACCTTCCTGGTCTGGCGGGGGTGGTTCTCGGCTTCAGACCCCCAAGTGGGATCAGAGTTGCTGTTGCTAAGCAAGGCAGTTGTTAAGGGAGTCATGCTCGATTTTGTGACCGCTTTTTTGCCAGAGTTGTTATGCACACAGTGACGTGGTGGTGCAGGGTTTCCTGCCTGAGCAGGGCAGGGCTGGCCTGCAAGACCTCCAGGGTTCTTTCCAGCTCTGTCCCGGCAACTGGTTCAGTTAGGATCCTGCAACCAGTCCACAAACCCAGCTTCCCCCCTCCCCCCCCCACTGACTTCGCATGTCGGTTGGGAAGGTCGCACATGGCCGAGTGGCCCAGGGCCCCCGCAACGGCCGTAAATACATGCCAGCTGCCAAGCACCCACATTTTGGTCACAACATTCTGGTGATGCTGTGACGGTCGTAAATGTGAGGACGATACATCTGATACAGACTTTGAAGTTAAAATTTAACTTTAAAAGTAAGTTTTCTTATTTAAAGGTTTGACTTTTATACTTGCATCATGTTTTCTGGGTCAACAGAAAATAGCCTACAGTGAAGGAAGTTACTGGGGTTCAGGATACCTACCGCCCATCGTATGCCTGTCTCTGGTAATCGCCCTCTTCCTTTCTAAGTGCCCGCAGACCACCACCACCCACCACCGCTTGCTTTTTTTTTGGCCTAGGGACTCCCGAGGTGCTGATCGCCACCTGCCCAAGTCCATGTTTTTCCTTTGCAGTTAGGAACACCAGCAGCTCTTCTTCAATCTCCTGGTGCTTCCCTTAAGCTCCAGGATAGTGCCAGCGTTTCAGTTCAGCCCCTGAAATTCCACCCATCCTTTCCTGGGAACTCAAATCCTGTGCAGCCACGGAAAACAAGCCCTTTCTCCTCCTCCTCCTCCTCCTCCTCCTCTTTGGGGGTTGTCCGAGAAGCTCTAGAAATGGCCACGGCCACTCTTGAGGCAAGGCAGGGAACAGCTAAACTGGAAGGACGATGGGCGTCGGATATGTCCAGGGCAAATTTCCCGCTCCTCCGTCCCAGCCATCCTCGCATACCTTGGAGTAATACTTGAAGACATCTGAAGCAGCGCTCAGTTCCAGCACTCCGTAGACGACCAGTTTGCAGAATCCAGACAGCAAATTACGCCGCTGGTACAGCTGCTCAACCTGAAGCTCCCCGTTTTCACTATCTTGAGTTCAGCAGCCAATTGAAAAGAACGGGGGGCGGGGTGGGTATTAGTGCAGTTGCTTAAGAATTGTGCTCCCGCTCCAAACCTCTCAAATTCCAACTTCAAGGATTAAGCACACCATCATCCTGGGCTTGGTTGTGGTTGAAGACATGGTCCATTAGAAAGCCAGCCATCTGCGACTGCAGAGCAGACTCCGGCTGATACACCAATTCCTCCTGCCCTCTGTCAGCCAGGTGTGGACCGAAGATCAGGAGCAAATCACTCAACAGCACAAAGGCCTGCAAAGAAGAAAAGGGGACAAAAGAGAATCACACACTGAAGACGGCAACTCCACACACACACGCACACAAGGTGGGCATAACCAAGTGCGGGCAGGGTCCTGGGCGCTCTCTGAGCTTGGTGGTTTTCTTGCAGATGTCTCATTACTGAACTATGTATCATCATCAGTGCTAGGTATTGTCTGTGTGCCTCTTGAGGGCCAATCTGTCAGAGTGCCAGGAATTCTCTGGCGTTTTTGGACTTGGCTTGGTCTAGGAGGGAGACTGTTTCCCAGTTGAAAGTATAGCTGAATCTGCCCTTGTGCTACGAAGTTAAGGCATTTTCATCATGATGTACACACTTTGGAGAAACATAAAATGGAAACCAGGCAGCTTCTAAATACCCATTTTCCAAAAAGCAAGTTGAGGAAGATGCTCCTTAAAATCTTTGTTCCAGGTTATTTATTTATTTATTTATTTATTTATTAAATAAATTGTATTGGCCGCCTTTATTACCTTAAGGTAGCTCTGGGCTGCTTACAGACATAAAAATACATCTACATTCAAACCTGAATAAATTAAAACCAAAGATTAAAATCAAGGACATGTGGTGATGGTGGGGACCGAAATGGAGGGAAGGAGGGATCAGTACTCGATCAGCATCCCCCATGGTTCCCCCCATTGGGGCCCCGGGCCAACTGGCAGGTCCAGGTTTTTAGGCCCTTGTGAAAGGACAGGAAGTTTGGGGCCAACTTCACATCAGGGGGGTGGGCGGGGGGGATGTTTCAAAGGGCAGGAGCCACAGCAGAAAAGGCCCTCCTCCTCTGGGACCCTGCCAGCCAGGATAATCGGGCTGAAGGGACCCACGGCAGGCCTCCTCTGTGGAAACAAACCCGTCAGGACTAGACTCAGCAATCCACCTGCATTTAGAAGACAAGGCCATTCTTTTGAAGACAACAAAATCCATGGTGTGGACAGAGAGGGCCGCTGGTTTGAAAGAGGGGCCAAAGAGGCCCTCTGTGTGCAAACTGAACAGTCCCCCTCCCCCGTCTCTCTCAACAGAGGGGGAGGGATACTACTTAGGTGACCCCAACGACACAGATAAACCTCCAAGTGGCCTAAGCGACTCTCTAAAAGAATGCAAATGACCAGCTGCCTGCAAGGAGCATAAATCCTTCCACACCATCCAGTCAGAACTGAAGAAGCTTCTTGGAGGAGAAGCGAAATGTCTTCAAAGAAAAACAAGAAAGTTGAGTTGCCTTCTGGAAAAAGCACCTTTGGGACAACCGTAAGCTGGATGACAGAGAAGCTCCACGGGGTGGGATGGGCCAATCCCAGTGGGGTGAGACAGTCTCCTAAGTAACCTGGACCCGTGCCAGGAAGGAATTTAATGGGGATCACCAACGCCTTGAATTGCACCTGGAAGCAGCCTGGCAACTAACGCAGCTCACGGAGAGTGGTTTTACTGGGGCCATTCTAGCCGCCCCCCCCCCCCCCCCCGAACTGCCTGCACTCTGCACCAGCTGCAGCTTCTGAATGCTCTTCAAGGGAAGCCCCACAAAGAGCTCATTGCAACAGTCCAATCGTGAGATGACCAGGGACTGAATGACTGAAGACTGGGAATTCTGCTCCAGGAAAGGCCACAACTGGGGCATAAGAGCGCAAAGGCTCTCCTAGCAACGACTGCAAACACCTGTTTGTTGAGCAGGAGTCCAGGAGAAGCCACAAGTTGGGGACCGTAGTCTTTCCTAAGCAGGGCCACCCCCACCCCGAATCAAAGATAACAAAACCCCAAATCCCGAAGTCCTGGGCACCCATTCGGTCTTGCCAGGGTTCAGCCAAAGCCTGCGTCCCCTATCCAGGCCCCCACAGCCTCCAGGCATCGCAAGAGGACAACCGCAGCATCACTTGGGCCACCAAGTGTGGAAACAGAGTTGGGCATGATCCTTATCTTTTCGGGATCTTCAAATAAAGAGCTGCCCTTTTGATTTTCCAAGAGGCCACCTTGGAAACAAAGATGATCTGAGAAAACGGTGCTTTGCAAAAAAGTCAGCTTCTTATTTAACTGAAATAATGTACTTTTTAAAGTGAGGCAGAGAATTTAACCAAGGAAAGCCCCCCACATATGTTTGAGTTCTTTACACATGAAGAAACAGTCTGAACTCGATGAACCCTTCCTGGCGTTAATGCCTCCTGCAGTGGCTCCATCACTGGAGGTTTTCGAGAAGACGCTGGACAGCCATTTCACTGTGACGGCCTAAGGACTCCTGCCTTGGGCAAGGGGCTGGACTACAGGACTCCCAAGGTCTCTTCAGTTCTAGGATTCCACGAATCCAAATGTTTGGAAGGGCATCTTTATTTGAATCAGTGCCATAATGTCTTAACAGGTACCTTGGGGGGGGGGGGGAATTAGGGTGAGGGGATTGTGAATCTTGGTGAATCTGCCAAAGAGGCATGAAGGCAACTCGGAAAGAAATACTTTTATTTATTCAATTTCTATTCTCCTCCCTTCTCAAGCAAGCAATTCTGCACACAACTACAAACATCACGCACACACACACACACACTCCTGGGAAAAAAAATATAATTATAGGTATCAATATAACCAAGAAACAGGGCCAGGGCCCTTCGTAGACTCAGGCGCATAACCAGGTCTTCGTGGCACAAAGGGCAACAGGGCTGCAGACATCCTAGCCTCTGGTCCCACAGGGCCTATCGCTGAGGAGGCAGGTCTCCCGAGCCCTGACGGGACTCGTGGCATGCCCAGCCCTCCAAACAACGGGGAGGAGATGGAGCTCTAGCAGGTTAAGCAGAAAACGGAGGGGAGGAAACGGCTTCCTTTTCCCACAGGGAGGTTCTTCCAGGCTAGGGAGAAAGGGGTGCTGCTGAGCTTGGAAATGAAAGAAGTATTTAAATATGCCCAATTTGGAGGCAAAGGGAGGGAGATTAGAGACTATGTTTACGGGCCAGCCATGTTAATGGTTGTAGTATAAACGCAATAAGTAAATAAAAATAAATAAACCTCATGCCAGAATTCTTAAAGTCAGCAACAACTTAATGGCACATAATCAGCTAATCACTCAATAGCAAGTAGTACATACTAAAGTTTTGGCCAGACAGTTAAGTGAGTTTTGAGACTGGTGGGTTTTTTTCAATTGGGGTTTGCTTGTCTGTTTTAACTTTGGGCGATATGGGTCATAGGTGGATGCTGTGGCTCTGGTTTAGTCCCTGTTGTGAGACTGACAGCTACACAAATTATTTCAATAAACGATAACGGATATTTTAGCACCATCACCGCTGATTTTCATAGCAAAAAGTACTGAACAGGGAAGAGTTACCTTTAGAAGCGTCCTCAATATTTTTAAGCATTCGGTTTTGTAGAAGTACACTCAAAAAGCATCTGCTCATTTCAAAAAGTTAATTAATTTCATTTAACTACTGCTAATAAATGTCCTTTTACGTTAGTCTTCTGCAAACAATCTCTCCCACAGTTCATTCGTACAAGTCTTGCAGGTAGTCGAGTTCGGGTGGCGATTGGGGCTGGAATTTCCATCACTAAGCAAGGCGATCGTAAAGTGTGACATCATGTGATCACATCGCTTAGCGACAACAATCCCAGCAATTCCCCTTGCCATCTTCAGTGAGGTCACAAGAGGACCTCAGCGGAAAGAAGCGCTGAAATCGTGGTCCGGGCACGCAGGCACCATGGAGGACCACTGCCCCAAAGGGGGGCTACGCAGCAGGCATTGCAAAGCACAGGAGGGCACTGTGGGCGGGCGCTACAGGATACCAACAGCCACGCTGGTGGGGCCCCTCAGGAGAAAACCCGGCAGGGCTGTAGGAGCGAGCTGAGATCTCCTTCTGGCTTCCCCGTTGACTTTGCTTGTGGGAAACAGGCAGGTCAGGTCAGATAGGATGACTGTGGGATTGTGCAATGGCCGCAACTCCTGAGGATCGGTCGTAAGTTCTCTCTGCCCCCCCCCCCCCATGATGCTGTAATTTGGAACTGTCTCTGCATGAGGGGTCCTCACTTTAGGATCACCAGCACTAATTATCTCACGTCCTCCTTTTTACACACACATACTTGGTTTCATCACTTGGAAACCTCACACACACACACACACACACACACACACACACACACACACACACACACAGAGCCCTCTTAAAGTTACTGTTTAAGGCCTAGGATGAGGTACACTGCCCCTCACAAGCCCCCCCGCTCCCCCCCTTCTCCCACCTTGTATTCACTTGACCCCTTGCCCCGTAGAGGTAGATGGGACATGCCAAAGACCGGCCCAGCAAGCCCCTGCTCCTGCCCAAGTGGGCGGCTCTCCTCATTCCCTCCACGGCTCAGACGCCCCTCACCTGCTCCTGGACACAGGGCTCCATGTCCACGAGGCAGCTCTGGCAGAGGGAGCAAAAGGCAGCCACTTTGTCCCTGAGGCTGAGCAGCTGCTGCTAGAGAGGAAAAGGCAATCGTGAAGGCCTGGCAGGGAGGGCCATGGCAAAAGATCCCCCAAACCCGCTCACCTGGTCAGGGATGTCCCCGGATGAGCAGCGGGACAGTTCCCAGAGCAGCGAGAAGTGGGCACAAGTCATGGCAGGAATCACCACCTGCAAGGAGAAAAGGGAGGCAACAGGCAGGCATGGGACCCCTGTGGGTGCAAGAAAAATGCCCCCTCGGAGGGTGGAAGAGCAGCTGAGCAAGAATGTGGCCCAAGAGGAGAGGTCCCCAACTGTTCCTGGCCCAGGTCAGTTGGCCCAGTACCTGCTCGCAGGCCTCGCCTGTATTCAGCAGGTGGCGCAGGAGATGGACACAGGGCTCAAAGAACCTCCAGGGAGTCAGGTCGTGGGCACTGCAGATGAAAAGGGCACAAGGAGCAACCAGGGACACCATACCTCTATTTAGGACTGGTGCAGAGGAGGAAGGCATTTAAAGGCAGAGATCTTGGGACAAAACAGCAAGGAAACGGCCAGACTGAATATAATTTCCACTCACCTGTGAAAGGTGGCAATGCGTCTCAAAGTGGCGGCCAAGCTGTACACCTCCTCCTTCTCAGAAAATGAGGACTGCAGAGGAAAGAAGCAGACACGATGCGCGGTGCTTCTCCTCCACCCGAGAGGACTATCCAGAGACAGAGAATCGCAGATGTGGAAGGGACAGGGAGGCCCAGCCCGACGCTTAGAGTAGGAACCCTCACACTGTCCCTGACAAAAACGGCTCAATCTTTCCTTGGAAGCCTCTACTGACTGAGCACCCCCACCGCTTCAGAAGGCAGCCTGTCCTACTGCTTAACAGACTCTCAGGCAGGCAAATCCTCCTCCTCATTTCAAGCCTGGATCTCCTCTGGGAGGCTGCTACCTGCTGGTTCTCATCTTGCCCTCAGGCATCACAAGGAATACATTCACAGGGTCCACCCGATGACCTCCCTTCATGGACTGGAGGACTGCCATTACGTCTCTGCTCGGCTGTCCCTTCTTTAGGCTCAGCACACCACGTTCAATTGCTCTCGGTAGGATTCCAAGCCGTTTACTATCCTCGTCACTACTCTCTGTACTCTTTCCAGTTCCACAGCCCAAAGTTGTGTTGGCTCTTTTGGCAGCTGTGGCCCATTGCTGGCTCAGCCTGAGCTTAGTCTGAGATCTACCACAACACCCAGATTCTTCTCACAGGTACTCGGGGTGGAGCCAAGGATCCCTATCGTCTCTCTGTGCATCTGATGTTTTATTTCTCACCCATGAACACCTTGCTGCCTAAGGGCCAGTGTTCTAAACAACCTGGACGTAGCAAAGGCAGGGGAAGAAACCAGCCGTTTCTCGACTTTCCCAAGCACCCCTAGCACAGCTTCATCACGACCGTCCGGTCCTGCTACAGAACATCCCCTGCACCCCTGGTGCTCCGCATAGTCCTTGTCAGCCAGGTCACCTCTAGTCCTTCTGTCTGTTAGGCTAGATGTATCCAGTTCTTACAACCTTTCATCGTATGTTTTAGCCCCCAGTCCCCTAACCATCTTTGTTCCTCTTCTCTGTAGTCTTTGTAGAGGCACCGCATCTTTTGTATATTGTGGTGACCACAACCGGACGCAGTATTCCAGGTGTGATCCTACTGAAGCAGTATATAGTGGCACTAACACTTTGTGTCTTGATTCTGTCCCCCTCTGTTAAGGCAGCACACATTGGCCTTTTGGGCAGCTGCAGCACACTTGCTGGTTCATGCTTAGGAGGTTGTTCACTAGGTCTCCAAGGTCCCTCTTATAGTTTCTGTTGTCAAGCGTAAAACCAGGGTTTTTCTTGACAATGAATTACATTTTGTTGGATAGGTCCCAGTGTACAAGTCCGCCTAGGGACTAAATCAGAGGGACCAATTAAATATTTGGGAGTTTAGTAAGGCATTAGTAAGGCCACAACCAATTGCTCCTTTACTTTGATCATGTCAATTGCAACGAATAAATGGGAGCTTAAAGCTTCTGGAAGGCACCATAATCCTTCTGTCTGAGATAGGCACCCCACCCCCCCCCAGGTCCACATTTCAAGTTCATGTACACCAGATCAGAATCCTATCATCAAACTGCTCCCACTCTGAAAATTCATCCATGCCTAAACACCTGTCACAGGGTGAAGTTCTTCTACCTGGAGGAGTTCAGTAGCCTCGTGCTGGAATTTATCCGCCAGATAGTCCACAATGCAGCTTCGAGCAAAATCCACACGGTTGTAGAAAGCAAATTCTGTGCTGCAGAGCAGCTGGAGAGTCTGGGAAGCCAGCTCCAGCACTTCACTGCTGGTGTGCTTTTCCACCACTTCCTTTAGCTGGCTCAGCAGCAAGTCTAAGTACTGGGAGGAGGAAGAGGAGACAGAGAGAGTCACCCCAGCAGTGTCCAAGGGCAAGCTTTTTTTCGGGGTGTGTGTGTGTGTGTGTGTGGATTTGGAATATTGGGGGAAGCAAGAGGAAGAGCCCGCTTAGGAGGAAAAACAAGGGGCGAGGAAGAGAGGCAGGGTAATGAAAAGGGCCTCCTACCTTCTCCAGGCGGCCTGAGCTGTAATGAGTTAGGTCAAAATAACGCAAAGCCTCCAGCAGGGGTCCTACTTTCTCAGCGTCAGCAGAGAACTGCCAGGATGGAGCGGAGCAGAGAAGGGAGGAATGAGGGCGCGAACAGAAGGTGTGCTCCTCTTGGCAAGGAAAGCCAAGTGCATCAACCACCCAGGACTCTGAGGGGGACAGGTAAACCCCCCCACCCCCAAGTGGCCTCAATGACTTTCAGAGAGTGCTAGCGACCAGGTGACTGCAAAGAATACAAATCCTTCCATGCCCCAACATTCGGTCAGAACAGAAGAAACCCCTCAGATGATAAGCGAAACGGTTTTTTTTGGGGGGGGGGGAAGAGGATGAAAAGCAATTTTGGAACAACCACACAGAACCGACAGGCAGGGCCAAATCCCAACCAGAACAGGATGCTTCTTCTTTGGCTTCTCCTCCCGCTCAGGAGTAAGAGACGAAGGCATTCACCTTAGCCAACAGCTGGGGCAGCAGAGGCGCAAAATGCTGCGTGAGCCTCGAACGCTCTTCAGACTGCCCTTTGCGCTCCCGAGCAGAAAACACCTGACAAGGCAGAAAGGAAAGAAGAGGAGGAGGAGGAGGAGGTGGCGGGGGTTGGGGTCCTTGGGAGAGGAGAGGAAGAACCAAGGCCGCCGTTACCTTCTTTCCAGAGAACCTGCCGATGGGTGGGTGCCCTTCGGTGGCTTGCCGCATGCTGGCCACCAAGATCAAGATGAGGCTGCTCTCCCTGAGATCGCCCAAACCTGCAGAGCGACGCAGCACTTGAGCTGTGGAGCATCTCACACAGAAAATGAACCCACATTACGCAACTATCACAATCTCTCGTCCTAAATGTGTAGCTACTGTTCCCTAAATTTGCAGAATTATACTGCAGTATCCACAAAGAATCACCAATTTAACTTACTTCTAATGCAATAAGCAGAATTTTTAAATATTAATTGCCAAGCCTTCCTGGATAATTCCCTCAGGTATTTCTCCTAAATACGTTTAACAAATAAGGGACCGTCACATATCCTTGCCTTCAGGGAGGACCCACTTGTTGCCAAGCACTCTGCTTATTCTCGCACATGATTTACTGCTGTTTGCACCACATTTGTATCAAACATTCCATAATTCAGTTTCCTGTTTACTTTCACAATATGCTTTTGCTAAAATTACAAACTTCTTACAATCATGTTTCTCAATGACCCGAAGAGCAAACATGCAGCATGCACAATTTCTCCCCTGCATGAAGAGGAACATAACTAAAGAACGTAAAGTACTTCCAGTAGCTACAGCAATTGTGTCAGAAAAGCTAGAGCTCAGAATGAACGAAGGCTTGCATGAGAGACAATATCAAGGAGCCCTTGGTACTTTCTGAGCCTAGTGGTTTGCTTGCAGACATTTCATCACCCCAAAAGGTGATACCATCAGTGAGTGTGGGGTTCTCTCCCAGTTTATATACAGTAGCTTGCCCTGCCACAGTTGGCGGGGTGTGGGGGGGGGTGTAGTTTTCTCCTTGGCGATTCCTTGATTACTGTTTTCTGTTTCTGGTGTTAATCCTTGCTTATCGGGCTGCTGGCTGCTGCAAAGCATGTCTTTCTTAGTTTCTTTCTTAGATTTTCTATTATCTCTGATGTATAAATCTGGTTTATCTCTATGTTATTGATGGCTGATTTGTCTAAGTGCCAAGTTTCCAGGAACTCCCTGGCATTATTGGATTTGGCTTGGCCTAGGATGCTTTCTTCTCCTGGGTGATAATGTGGCTGAGGCTGTCCAGATGCATGGTGGGATTAAGGAGTTTTCATCATGTCTTCCGATTGCTGGCTTTTGCTCACGGATATGCTTTGCCCGTCTTCTGCCTGCCTGTCCTATATAGTGGCCGTTATGCAGTCCTTACACTGCATGTTGCAAGGCTACTGGGACCGTTGGTTTAGTTACGGTGTTTTGGAGGGCTTTAATTGGATCAAAACTCAATACTCACCAGCACTAATATTAGTTGGTGGTCACAAAATGTCTGCAAGTAAACAACCAAGTTCTGAGAGCACCAAGGACTCCACAGTTCAATCCTGAGCTACAACATAAGTCTCTTCCGCTGAAGCACAAGTTCTTTGGGAAGTGAGAAATGAACAGAAAGCCATGTATAGATGCAGCCCAAAGAGAGCCGTCGTGGTGCAAGAATGATACAAGAAACACTGTCTTAACGTCCTTGTGTCGGTCTTCTCTCAGAAGGGAAACGGAGCTGTAGCTGGTCATCCTTCTAAGAAAAATCACTTGAACTCCCCCCCCCCCCCAAAAAAAAAAAAAAAAAGATCAGATTCAACTGGAAAGTACAGAAGGAATAGGAGGAGGACGGCAGGCCTGCTTTAAGTAGTCATGCGATTACTTTCATGAGGAAAGTTCTTGGCAAATACATGGGCAGATCAGGGTATCCCGGCCAATCACATTCAACATGAATCCAGTGTAGTATAGTTGCTAGGAAGGGCCAATACTACCTCGAGAGGTATTACAGGTAGTCCTTGCTTAATAACTGTCCCGTTTAGCAACTGTTCAAAGTTACAACAAGACTTTACAACCAGTCCTCATAGTCACACCTGTCACAGTAGCCCCACAATAATGTGACCAAAATTTGGGTGTTTATAATCGTCATGGCATCCCACGGCAGCAGAACAGCCACTTGTGCACGTCACAGTCGACCTCCGGCTACGTCCATGGGCAGATATCCTCAGGGAGGGATCCACGGTATTCCGGAGGGGTTTTAAGGAAGTCGGAGGGCACATCTCCCCCATCCGTTTAGCAGCCAAAGGCTGACATGAGCCAAAGCCCACCCACTTCCGCTCACCTTCTATGGAGGATTCCTCCAGCAGGAGGCCTGTCAGCACCGGCCAGTCCTTCAGCAGGGCAGATGCACAGTCCCACAGGCTATCGACCAAGTAAGCGGCATGGTCATGGAACTGTGGGTGGAGAACAAAGCACTGCACTAAAACCAGCCTGGCTAAGGGCCGCCAGGACTCCTCACCTTCTCCTTGTGGCTCAAACGTTTCACTCACCTCACTTTCAATAAAGAACACCAAAAGCAACTGGAGGAAGCCACGAGTGCCCTCATGGAGGTCGCCTGATTTCCCACCGGCATCTACCCTGGGTGCCAACAACCTACAAGCCAAGCCACCAACATTAGGAAACAGAGCCCAAGTCAGAAATCTTTGGGAAGAAACAGGATATTGCATTCCTACGCACAACGGAGTGCTTGCTCAGAATGCTGAGGTGCGCCGGGGGGGGGGGGGCGTGAGGACCATACTCACTTTCTGTATAAAAATCCACCTGCAGCAGCAGCTACAGGACGACTGGAAGCATAAACCAGTGGGAAGACCCTTTCACAGTCAGCACCCGTGAGGGCGCCGTCCGCATTCCTGCAGAGACCAATCTTCAGTGCACGTGAAAAATGCCAACCCCCAACCCCCCCTAAGTGAGGGGTAGATAGGACAGACTGAAAACACAGGAGACCCTCTGGCAGCCTGGCCAGAGAACATGGACTTTGACGAGCAAGTCGAATGCTAGCAGTGCCTTCGGATTACTCCGGCATCACTTACTGAAGGATGAGAGTAAGCAGCCTCACAGCTTCCGTTGCCACCTGGGGCTCCTTATCCAGAACCATGGCCACAATCCGTTCCTGCAGGAAAACAGGAGGTGCTGGAGGAAGCGGGGACCACCCACTTTTTAGAAAGGGTTCCCGATCTCCCTGAAAATGCATCCAATGTATTTTTCAGTACTTAACAGACAAATATGTTTCAGCTTCCTGGCTTATTCTTTTATATGATCATTCCACATCTTTGTGGTTAACATTTTGTAATTTATGAAAGCTGCCACAGGGGCACTGAACCTCCACTAGGTACATATATGACTCTGGGAACCTGCCTCCGAGTCAAGCCTCCTCTCCGCTCCTCTGCTAGGACATGGAGGGCGACAAATAATACATTTCACTTGTACGTATTTGATTGCAGAATAAACTTCTTTCACTTGTACATATTTGATTGCTATCAGGGGCCCTGAGCCTTGAAAGAGCTGGCAACCCTGAAACTGCTGGAGGGGGAGGAGTTAGAGGACAAGAATCGGGTTGCTATCCTTTCCTCAGTGTGAAGGTGTAATAAAAGGATGCTTTTGTTGAAAGAGGCTAATACGGGTGGAAAGGCAGGCTTGGAGCCTCTTCAGAAATACAGAACGGAGACACACCAGGCCTGCTGGTAGTAAGGTCAGGTCTTGCTCTTTCTCAAATGCTACATTTCAACTGAAATTCTTGCGTACCATTTCAGAAGGGACATGACCTGTAACCACTTTGTGGGCTTTGAGGCTCTGGTGTTCTTCTGGGGAAGAGCCCAGTGACCACTGTAGTTGTGCTTGAGCATTACTTTTTGGCAGCTTTGAGGGTGTAAAGTGTACTTGCTTTTGGTATCTCAAAAACAGGGCTCTCCTGAGCAATTCTGGAAGTCTTCTGCAGCCACTATACCAACTTCAAAATAATTAAACTACAAGAATGGATTTCCCCACAAATAATTTAGCCACAGTGCTCTGTGCCCATTGTCTTCAAAGACAACCCGACTAACTCTATATTGCTGTAGCAGCATACAGTAATTGTGTTTGGTGATCGCAACATGCAAGTTACAAAAATTAAAGTTGCTAAGTGACACTTGTGCAATGAAAAAAAAGGAAGCTTAGAAAACTTCCAGATAAGGGTCACAAAAGTTCAGCAGGTATAACCTGTCACCCCAACAATTCCTATCTCTGACCGAGACAGGCGGCCGAGGTGAGGCTTCTCCTCTTAAAACTGCACCCAAACGAGAACCGACCCCGGAGACACATTAAGAGGACGGCACCCTGGAAGAGCTGGGAGAGAAGTTCTGTGCTGTAAAAGCCAACCCATGCAAAGTCTTATTGTTCCCCTCCCATGCGATCCCTATACGCTTGCTACCATAATGGTACTACTCAGTTACTATTACCACAATGTTTATACTATACAAGTAGTCCTCGGCTTAGAACCACAATTGAGCCCAACATTTCTGTTGTTACATGAGACTTTTGTTGAGATTTACACTCTTTCTTGCCACAATTGTGAAGTGAATCACTGCAGTTGATTAGTTAGTAACCTGGTTAAGTGAATCTGGCTTCCCCATTGACTCTGCTCCTCAGAACGTTGCAAAAGGGGATCACATGACACCCCCCCCCCCCGGACACTGCAACCGTCATAAATATGAGCCAGTTGCGTCTGGATTTTGATCATGTTTCTGGGGGTGCTGCAAGGGTCATAACTGAAATACAGTCAAAAGTCACTTGTTTCAGTACCGATGTAACGTTGAACAGTCACTAAACGAACTGTAATAAGGACTACCTGTACTCCAGACTGCTTGCATCAGAGTGTGCTCTGTTTTACCATTACCTGTTGCGCATGGCTGTGCTCTATGCCACGGTTACAGGCGCCTCCAAGATACAGGCAGTCCTCAGGGCTGGTTTGTTTTTAACAATGGCTCAAAGTTATGACGGCCTGTCCTTGCAGTTACAACCACCATAGCAACCCTGCAATCACATGATGGCAATTTGGGCATTTGGCAACTTGCTCAACTTCACAACCAGTTGCAACCTCTTGAGGCCACAGGAGCATTTGTGACCTTCCGACAACTGGTTTCCGACAACGAATCGCAATTGGGTAAGCCGAGCGATCCATTGTGCCGATTTGCTGCATTTACTACAGTAAAAATCGTCGTAAAATCGGATTGCCACGTGGTGACTTGTTTTAGGACCACACTAACGTACGGTGGAAGTGATCCTCAACCCGATCTCTGGCTACAACTTTTTCAAAAGCCTTAAGAAGCCTGGCTCTAAGTGCTGACACTCTGACCAACCACAAGGCTGCTTTGAAATGACGGTGCAGCCGACTGAGCACACCTGTGTTATTTTAAAAGATACACCTACAAGGAAAGCTATTTATATGGAGCGGTTAGTTGTAATAAAATAAGCACACGAAGGAGGGATTACACTACATACAGGCTTATTTTTCTTTCAAAAACTGTGTGGCTACCTACCTCCTGCAGTGATTCTAGGAGGGTTACCGAGAGGCCATGTGAGGAAAACTAAGTACACCTTATGATTCACGAGGTGATTCGCCTTATGATCTGCCTTTAGCAGCCATACCTCGAAGTCATCGTTTCCTCTATGACTTTATCCGTCCCTCACATGTAGAGTGCAGCTGGTCAGCCAGTTACGAATCTATCTGGTGTGGCTGATGCTGTCTATCCCACATTTCTCTAACTTACCCAGAAGTAGATTGGGGTTTATTTTGTCAAATGCCTCACTGGCCCAAGTGCTATACTTAAATTACACCTGTAATTGTGTATGTCTGACAGTTTTTGCAACCCGATCCACGCTTTAGACCTGGGTGGTAGATAATGGGAGTGTGCCTATCACAGAACTGTTTCATTCAAGATTAGGTTGGCTCCAACCCAATTAAAACTTCTTTTTTTCTCTCTCTCACTCAGCTATGGTCACTTGCCTGTCTGCTAGAAAGGGGGGGGAGACGGGACGAACCCCCCCATACCCTTCCCAGCCCATGCCAATCCCCCCACACACACACTCTCCCCACCTGTGCTGCTCCCCCACATATCTTCTCCCCTTGCATGCCTTCCCCAATCCATCTCTTGCACACACCACACCACACCCTCCCCAATCCATGCCTTTCCTGACCCATGCAGCACCTCCAGAGTGCGCGCGCACACACACACACACCCTTCCCAATCCACACCATCCCTGGCACCTCTTCATGGCACCTCTTGCACCCTACTAAGCACCCCATTTGGGGGACCTTTTACAGCCTACGCAGTCCCTCCCCCGTGCCTTCCTCTTGCCCTCCCCCCCCCCCCCCCCGACGGCATCCCTTGTGCACCTCCAAATATCTTTCCTGACTTGAACCGCAGCACAGCCCTTCTCTCCCTCCCACTCAGCTGCAGCCACTTACCTGCCTGTTGGTCTTGGACTTCCGGCCAGCTTCCCCACTGACCCTCCCTGCAAGCTTCCCACAAGCAAAGTAAATAGGGATGTTGGCAGGAATTTGAGGAGCGAAGGAAAGGGAGGATGGGGAAGGAAGGATGAGGGAGAGAGGGGAAATAAGGACAGAATGGAGGGAGAGAAGGAAGAAGGCAAGGAAGGAAGGAAGGAAGGAGGGTGGGGAGGAAAGAAAGAAAATTTTCTGAAGTTCTTCTGTGCCAGCTTCCCATAAGGAAACCCAATAAGAAGCTGGAAGGAAGATCAGAAGTAGCTCCTCAGCCCCACCTGTGGCCATTCTGATTCTGTTTAAGTAAGGAAATATCTCTGAAATGGTGACCCAGGAGGTTATAGGTTGTCTGGTTTATTTCTGAAAGCTTTTGTTAGTTACTTCATATACATGTTGCCCAACTCCCAGCAGCTTTTTGAGGATTTTCGTTCATGAACTCAGGATGAGATAGCAGCAAAGAGAAAACTGGACATTTCCAGAGTATGCAAGAGAGACCGAGGACAGAGTGACCTATCCCATTAATAAAACTCTTGCCACCTTTTCAAGGTGGATCTGCTGGTCAAAGCCAGTGGGAAATATTACGGCTGTTTACCTTAAAGCGACTGGTGAAAAGCTCCATCTGCGAGGCAGTTTCTGGGCTGCAATACAAGCCTTGCAGTACAAGTAGGCACCTGAGTCGGACCTCCCACTGCTGCAAGACAAAGCCCATCATCAGGCTATTTGATTTCTCAAAGCCCAAAATCAAATAATGTCTAAAAATTGCAAAGAGTGATGAGTAACCCCAAGTCTTTTCCTTTGTACTGAATTTGCATTTGTCAGCTCTGACAAATAACCCAACCGGTATCAGGTTCAGAAAATGGCAACAAAAATGGTCACAAATTGGGAACAGACCAATCGAGAGACATTTGACCCTTAAACAGCAAAGATTGAGACAACATGATAACCTAAATGGGCATGTTGTTCTTTACTACCATACAATGCACAACACAGAATAACAGCCCTGTTACTGCAAGACCAGGAAAAGGGAGAATAACGGGCAGGTGACGATAAGACAGTTCTCCACCAGGGGCAATGAAATTTGGATCCCTACATTCAATCCTGAAGGAAATTGGAACTCAGGGGTTTTAATTTTAGGAAAAGTCCTCATCTGTTTGAACTTCATTCTTCTCTTAATCACCATAATCAATAGATAAAATGGGTGCGTTAGTGGAAGGGTTTTGTTGTATAACAAGCCCAATACACAAATCAATATACAGTAAAAAGACCCACAGAACTGGAACAACCTATATAGGCCATCAAGCCTGGTCCTCTGCTTAGTACAGAGATTCAAATTAAAGCCCCTCACACAATTGGATACCTGGCCTTTTCCCAAACACACCCAATAATGTTATGATCCAGAATCCTGGTAAATAGAATTGTGTTTTCTTCTAAGTACGAATAGGAAGCAGGTCACCCTTACTCTAATCTATGGGATACACCGTTCCTTAAGAATGAGACTGCAGCAGGAAAGATGTACTTCTAAGACCCTACCCGTATCACTTCTAGATGGGGGGAATGGGATACAAAGCGTTCCTTGCGGACTCAAAGGTGAGGAAGACAGCTTTAAGGCCACCAGGACCAAGACACGAACAGCTTCAGAATGAGAAAGAGAACAGAATTGTGCTGTACAGGTAGTCCTCCACTTATGACCATGATCAGGCCCAGAATCTGTTGCTGAGCAAAGTGGTTATTAAAGTGAGATGTCATGTAATCGCTTTGCTCAGTGACTGCAATCTCAGATCTCCCACATGGTCATTAAAGACCACATGGGCCGTTAAGGTAACAACAATGCTAACTCATCCTTCCTACATCAGTTATTAATACAACTAGGATACTTGGTGGCATCACTTCCCTCCATGTGCAGAAGGCATAGCCGCTCCTGTTGAAGAGCTGCACGGGTGTCCGGGAAAACGGGCAAGGAAGAATAACTGCTGCTGCCAATTACAAGAATTTCTTCCAGTCGGTGTAAAAAGGAGTTGGCATCAATGCCACTATGACACATCCCGCTGTATTGAATTAGCACCAACAATCTTAAATAGGATGGCGACCCTGTAGCTGTGCAGACCATCTGAAAAAGACCCTTCACGATGTGCAAAGAGCACATGCACAACACCCTTTCAAAAGATTAAAGCAGCTATGTCTTTTGCAAAGCAGAGACAGCTGGGAGCATCAGCTGGGAGACAGCTTTTTTGAAGAAGCGTGTGTATTGAAAGAAGTTGTGGGTGCTTTAACACTTCAAAAGCAACTGCTATTCACCTTTGATTCAATTGTTGAATATAAAGACAGATAACTCTACAAATTCTTTCATACAAAGTTTCTTTTATTGGATTACATTAGGTATCCTCAAGGTAACTCAGTTATGTCGAGATGCATCTAATGTCCAATTCTTTGCATAATCTTTCCCCATTTCATCCCATAGCAGTAGAGACAAAGGAGAGACGCTAGCACGATGCTAGGGTCCGAGCAAGAGTGAAGAAACCTCCCCCAACCCAAGGGTCAATTCAGTGACCAATCAGGATTACAGGTGTGACCACATGACATGGACTACATTTCCCAGGATATCTTAACTACATTTACCATGATGCATTCCCTTAAGGGGACAGCTCCCAATTCCTAATTAACTATTCCAATTCCCATATACTGGTTGGGCAGCACAACAATAAAATACAAGCTGAATAGTCAAGATCTTGTTGATGATCCAAGCTCTGTCAAGGATCTTGGAATACTCATCTCTAATGATCTAAGTGCTAGAGCCCACTGTAACTATATAGCCAAAAAGGCATTAAGAGTTGTTAACCTAATCCAATGTAGCTTTTTCTCTGGTAATATCACACTACTAACTAGAGCATACAAAACATTTGCTAGACCAATACTCGAATACAGCTGATCAGTCTGGAACCCACATTACGTATCTGATATTAGCACAGTTGAGAAAGTCCAGAAATATTTCACAAGAAGAGTTCTCCACTCCTCTACTCGTTGCAGAATACCTTATGCCACCAGACTTGAAATTCTAGACCTAGAAAACCTTGAATTAGGCCGTCTTCGGTCTAAGTATGGTATATAAAATCATACATTGCAATGTCCTACCTGTCAATGAATACTTCAGCTTCAACCATTATAACACAAGAGCACACAATAGATACAAACTCAAGGTTAACCGCACCAAACTTGATTGTCCTATTGTTTCTTTTATTTTTCTTATATGTACACATTTCATGTATTCATAACTATGTATATACTTATAGCTATTATCTTGTAAGCGATTGACAAATCAAAATAAATAAAAACTGCTATGGACATGCTCTTATGTTACAAAGCATCTTGTTCAAATGTTTTGCATAGTTTTATTCAGATGGGCTCATGATTCTGGAAACACGAATTAAGTAACAAGGGTGCTTTAAATATCTCGCATAAACTTTTAATTCCTGAACGCCCTACCAATACGTTTTCTGCCCTGGCAACCCACCTTGTCATGCAGAGTCCAGCCAATGTACTTGAGGTAACCATCCGTTAGGAAGGAAGTGGTGTAATGTTGTATCCACTGACCCATCTCTCCAATGCAAATAGCGCGGATTTCAGGTAAAAGGTCCCTTGGAAAGCAAACAACCGGGACAGCGATCAGAGTCTCCTGACCTTGAGCTGGCTCTTTTCACGCGTGCCCTGATGTCACTCACCGATAGCGGTGAACGAAGACTCCCTTGAAGAGAGCGTTCATCAAGGTCTCCAGCTCTTCCTGCTTCTCCTGGAACTAAAAACAGGTGAACTGCTGGCAGAGAGAGAATAGCCATCAACGGTTGTCTTGCTTATAATTATTAGAAAGATTCAGATAAAATAACGTATGAACGCTGTAAGACTGAGTTCAAGAGAGACTCAATTGCAGAAAATATGATTTCAACAACCGCGGTCAATGTCTGGAATACACTACCTGACTCCGGTTTCTTCCCCAAACCCCCAAACTTTAATCTTAGCCTGTCTCCTGTTGGCCTCACCCCATTCCTAAGAGGTCTGTAAGGGGCGTGTATAAGCACCAACATACCTACCATCCCTGTCCTAATGTTCCTTTTTATTCGTATCCATTTCATGTATTCATAATCATGTTTATACTTGTATAAGTTAAAATTAGATATATGTTATCTAATACATGCTTGACAAAATAAATAAATAGAATTGGGTATCAACGCTGAACATACAATTGCTAAAACATAAACATATTGGGATTTGAAACAGAAAAGGAACAAGTGAAAAAATGTAGGATAAAATGCACTGAACATTTTGCTTCTAATATACAGATGAAACAATGGGAAATATGTGGCTAAAATAATTGAAATTTATACTAAAACCTCCCTTTTTATGACCCTATAATCCTTTAATTCAGGGTAGAGTCGGGTCAACTGGATGGAAGTGAGCGTTTACTGACTGGATGCCCTTCCTGTAGCCTATGTAGAGTTAACAGATTTTTTTTTTCCTCTGAGCCCTAGGAGAAACATCTGCCGCTACCTAGGATTGAACTTTCAACCTTCCGAGTGGGAGGGCGAGCGTCTTCACAAGGTCACCACGCTGCTCAGTTGAAATTTGCGCTATAATCTTAAAAATAATTTTTATAAAATGATGTATTGTTGATATATGTCACCAGATAAATTATCTAGAATGTATCAAGGCACTTCAAATTTAGGTTGGAAATGTGAACAAGAGACATTTTGTTTGCTGGATGTATAAAAAAACTAGAAAAATTTTATTGCGAATGCAGACACTGATTTATAGGATGTTAAAGATTTATATACAATTGAGACCAAAGGTTTTTATCTGGAGATTGGACAAACACATGCAAAAAAGTCACGGAACTGTTTCTGTACATAACTGCAACGAGATTATTATATGGAACAATGTGGCATAATCCACAATGGAGGAATGATGATTGGTGAAAACTATGGAATTTGCTAAGGTAGCTAAAATTGACTTTTTTTGATCGAAGAAGGCAATATCTGTATTTATTGCTGTCTGGAAACTCTTTATGAGCTTTATGAGAAAAAAGCAGATTCATGATGTTTTTGATGATTAGACAAAGTAGTTTAGTGAAAGGGAATCATGTAACTTTACGGAAAGAAGTAAATTTAGAATTGTATTTAAATACAATTTAAAGCTACTGTAAAGAATATTAGAAGCTACCTCTTTGTTTCTTTTTATTTCCTTTTCCTTTTTTTTGCATTTTTAGCTTTCTTTTTAATTTTTTCCTCTCTATTTATTATTGTATTTTTTATCTCCCCTTTAAAAATATTATATAATAAAAAGTGAAGGGTTATGCTCCCAGCTACAAAATTCTGATTAAAGAGATTATAACTTTCTTTCCCAAGACAAATCTTCTCTGTTTGGATCTCAGGGAAAACTTTTATCAAATGCTTTGCTAAGCTCTTGATACAGTGTTGAACTCATTCACTTCAATTAAAATAGTCACTCATATTCTCTCCCTCAAAAGAGGAAATCAAATTGCTTTTGCACCTGTTTACGAACATACACAAGTTCCTGTCAAGTAATTCGTTCTTTTCTACATGCTTGCAAACCTACTGCTGAATAATCTGTTCCAACACCATCCAGATTGGTCACTGCTTATCCATCTGGAATCTGATAGTTTAAGTGCTTATTTACAGTTATTTCTCTTTCACCACAACCTGACACCTCAGATTGTAGTCTTCTGAGTAACCAATCACATCCCAAGGGCACAGAGAACGAAATCTCCCTAGCATTAATTGCCCGGAGGACCCCAGCACCAACCCTCTTAATAGGTGATGCTGCTAGGCAGCTGGATGGGTGCCCCAACAGTAGAATCTGTAATTTGAGGAGGAGCTTAGGAGAAACACATCCAGGCACCTTCACCGCAGCCACTGCAGACAGTCGAACTGCCCTGGAAGATCCCTACCCCCGAGGCCAGGGCCCCTCGCCACCTGTGCATCTGGAGTGCAGATCCCCAAGGGATAGGTCAGGGCTGGTCAGAGGCAACAGGCCACCACTTGGCATCTCCATTTGAGGGAGCCATCAGTTGCCAACAGCGAGTCCGGATCCCAAGCAGCCACTGCATAGCAGGAGCTGCTGCTGCTCCTGCTGCTCCTAATCCGTCCCATTAACTGCTTCTCCACTGAGGCTTCCTTCTTCTCCGAAACCCCTTTCTTCCCTGACATTCATAGTATGCGGGGGATTTCCCTCCCTTCACACTTGTGCAGTTTATACTCTCCACACCTTCAGTAACCATCTCCTCCTATTCCTCCATCCTCTCAAATCTTCTTTGCACCTGACGACTTACTTTCTCCAGCCCTACTGTATCCTACCATTCTATTCCGTTTTCTTTGCCCCAACGTTCTCCTTCAGTTACAGCATTTCCCTTCCTTTCTCGTATTCTTTCACGCCCACTCATTTCCACAGAAACTCTTTTTTTCCCTGCTTCAGTTTCTACTTTCTCTTCATTTAAAACTGCCCACCTTCCAAAACAAGTTTCCTGGCCATCACTGATTCCCAGGGGAAAAGAAACCAACCTTTAAGGGAACATCCTTTCCCCATTCCGACGTTAGAGACTATGTTGCCCATATTAGGACTATATTATGCTACCTGTCTCCCAAGGATTTTATTTTTAAAAATTCACATAACTGCCCCAACTGGGAAGAAACTTGTGAACCCGGAACTGGCAATAATTTGGGGAGCTAGACACCAAGGAGTAATAGTCTATGCACACAAAAAGAAATACACTTTTCTAACATCTTATCCTTCAAATCTCACATGAGATTTTCAAAACAGACAGGAGAAGTGAGTCATTTTAATTCCTACAACTGGCAATTGCACTGACAGTTTGCCCAGGACCTCTGATCAGAGCACTGTTTTTGCTGGCCTACTTGTGGGTAGCTCAAAGATAGTTTTAAAAATCCAGTTTCCAGAGAATGACTTCAGTGATGAAACAAAAATTTGGCAGGGAGACGACAAATATTACAGAGTCGATTAAAATACCAAAGGAAAAAAAAAATCACGTGCAGAAAATGGAAGGAGAGGAATGTAACCAAAGAATACAAGACAACCTCTAGGGATTACAGGCGGCCCTCAGGTGACAACACTTCAGGGACCATTCAAACTTGCGACTCCACTGAAATAGAAGTTGCGATCGGTCCCCAAAGTTCTGGCTGTCACAGTCCCATGGCTGTGATCCAGGTTGTTGGGGTTAGCTCACAATTACAAAGTTGCAATGAGCCACAATCACATGGTCCTGACTTCCAAGATTCCCTGCCAACTTCCTCAAAGCAAAGTCAATGAGGAAGCTGGCTAAGTCAGAATTTAGTCATGTGAGATCCTCACTTAATGACCTGCATGGTCCTTGCTTTTAACCATGGCAATGCAGACTGCCAGAATTGCCATCGCATTCACTGTAAAACCATGTTGCTTAACAAGGACAATTCTGGTCCCTTTTGTCATAGTAACTACCTGTGCAGGAATTCTTGTCACAAAAATTGAAGCTCATAAAGACACAAGGCTTACAGCAGATGCTAAGCAATAATCCAAAGGGGGTTCTTTGGATAGGTTGGAAATCAGAAGAAAGCCACGGAGTGCAAATCCATCTGAGAGGAGAAACCACTGAAATGGTAAAGGGCAATGGTGAGATTGCAGCTGATATCTTCGCCCCTGGTCGGTCCTAACGGACCTAAACCGTCCCGTAGAGACGGTGACAGTAAGGGGTGCGTTCTGCTGATCCCAGGGACATCGCAAAGTCCCTGGTTGATCCAGAAGAAGCCCTTTTACCATCGGCGGAGAGGCAGCCATTAAGCTGATGAAGCTGTGACAGCTCCGGAAGGAAGAGACAGAAAGTGTATCGGCTGGTGAGAATTTTCTTTTTATTTTATTTTATTCGGGACTTAAGGACTCTCTAAAATGAGAAGAATCCTGTAAGACTTTTGACAAAAACTGATAAAACTGACTTAGCGGCGATTTTTTAAAGAGAATGTCAAACTGAGGCTTGGCTTTTTACTTTTACTTTTGTTTTCACTAAACTTCTATTGCAATCTAATAACTGTAACTAGACTGGTTTTTTCCCTTATATTTATCTAATTTTTTTTTCTTTTTTTCTCCCTTTTGAGTGTTAATAGTTTTTTTTTAGGACAGAGGCTCCCTTTAGTATTTTTTTTTCCTTAAATATATATATATATATATATATACATGTATATTTTCTTTTTTTATTAGGCTTTTTCTGGGAAAGAAGGGGGAGTGGATTAAAGAAACTTTGTAACACTGCCAACTAGAGGCTTGAAAATACTTTATTGGAAGTTGAGAGGACTGTGAAAAAATCCTTTCTCAAGGACACTGGAACTTGATAAGATAGAGGGAAGAACACTGGAGAATGTTTTAACAGGTGTTCTTTGGAACTTCTATTATTAATTGAGTACTTGAAGCTTGGCTTTGGAATTTGTGGAGAAGCCATAATAAGAGCCTTGCATAACTAAATAAGATGCAGTGTGCTTTCTTTTTCACCTTCTTTTAGCTGTTCCATCCCTCCTCTTCAATCCCACAGTATCTTGTAATATTTGTATATCTATTTTTTCTTCTTCCCAATTGGATTATAATTGGCTATCTTATTAATTGGATTAAAGAAGCTTAAAGATCCTGAGTTATTCAAATGAGTAAGAAAACTTTACCTTCTGGCAGTTCAACTTCTGCTCCTGCTTCTCCATCAACTGGAGGACGACTATCAATAATGGTGAAGCAAGATAAAGTACAAAT